GGGTCCTTATTCTTAGTTGCTGAGTTCATAAGCCAAAAGAGGTCTACACTGTCAGTTTCATCAGGAGTCATATTATCCCAAAAAGTGTAAAGTGTACTGATTCAGCTACTAAGTCAGTTGTTATAACTAAAGTATAATGGGCCACAAAACCCTATTCTAATTATCTAAGGCCTTTGTATGAGGGTCTTGCGTTTGAGGCTTCAAGGTGTCAAGCTCATCTTCATCTTCCCACACCCCGAAACCGTCTTCTTCAGAACTATGGGGTTTAGGGATTAGGGTAGGGTTTGGGGTTTAGGATTTAGGAATTTAGGGTTTAGGGGTTTAGGGCTTAGCGTTTAGGGTTCAGGGTTTAGGGCTTAGGCCTAAACGCACAACCCCGTCCCGCCGGGAACGGTCTTGTCAGTGTTCAGTCGCTGGGGCCTCGGTTTTTGCAGAGAGGAACCTAAGAGTTCTACAAGGGTACTCTCTGGGTTCGATGCGGGTACTTGGAGGTTCATGGGTAGTTATCAAGTGGTGTTATAAGTCCCCTAATATGTATAGTTACCCTACTTATAACCCCATTTATAACTGCCCATGAACCTCCAAGTACTGTAAGGGTTCTGCAAGGGTACTCTCTACGCACTGGGAAGCTCCTGTAGCCCACACCTCGCAGTCAAAGCCTTAAGCCGCGAAAGCTCGGGGTCTAGGACGTGGTCTGTCAGGGCTTTACGGTTTGTGGTTAGCCTCCCAGAAGAGTTGAGAATATGGAATTTAATTGAAATTTGAGGTCTATAGGGTTTTGGGCCAAGGGAATTAAAATTAGAATCGGTAGCCCGGCGACCTTGCAGGGAGCTCTCCCAGCTGTCCTCCGTCCGCCTCGCAGCATAGGCGACGGGGAAGGATTATGACCCCAGAGGGCGGCAAAAGGCGTGATCATGAGGCAGCTGAACAGATGACAATGGCAAAAGCCGGCTATGGTTTACAGTAGGGTGCTGGGATAGGGGCTTATAATTAGGGGTGTAGGGTTTATAGGGTTCAACAGGTTAGCATTTAAATTCAGCAGTATATTATATAGTATAGTATAGAGCAGGAGTGTGTGGGATCGAAATTCAAGCGTTTAGGAGACCCTTAACCCTGTGAAACAGAGAAGCCCGAGCCTCAGCCAGCGATTGCCTCGGAGCAGTACGCGCACTGCTTTGCCTGGGATCATCTGGCTTTAGGGCTTCGGGCGTTGGGTTCAGGGGTTCAGGGGTTTAGGGTTTAGGGTTTGGGATTAAAGCAGATGAAAGCAGGATAGAGCGGTCTAAAGACTCTTGCTACAGTGATTTGTAAACCCAAGTCAACAAACACCATAGCCAAAAGCCCGAATATTCATGTTGTTGGTGTGCCCTCTCAACCCCAAAACCCGAAACCCCAAAGGCCTAACACCTAATTCGACAACCCAGCAGCAACTAGCAGTCAACGACTCACCTAGGGGTAGTTCTCTAAAGTAGGGTCCCTTGCAGGGTCCTTTCTTACAAGGGTGCCGTACTATATTGGGGACCTGAAAAGGGGACCCTAATTTAGAGAGCTACTCCTAAACCCTGAACCCTAAACCCCAATTCCTAAACCCTATATACCCCATATACCCCAATTCCTAAACCCTAAACCCCAATTCCTAAACCCTAAGCGCTGAACCCTAAACTCCCGATCCCAGGGGCCAGCGAAGAGTACCTTCTTTGCGGTCTCCATGGTGACGATGTTCCTTGGCCCAAACCCTAACCCTAAGGCTCTAAGGACTCACATTGTAAGGCATTTTCGGCCCAAAGACCATACCAAATAAGGTTTCGGGCTATATATTGAGCCTTGGGTAACCCAAATGGTATATCCGTTGCCCTTAAAGTAGTCCCTATTTAGGCACTTTGGGCCCAATGTATATACAATGTGGGTACATGGACCCTTAGGGAAAGGCTCTGCACCCTGAGCCTACTAACGCAAGAGGCCTTCGACATGAAACAGAGGATTTTGAGGATGTTTGACGCTGCACTTATGTACCTGGGGATCCAAAAACCTACCGTTTTAGGGCTTATACCCTGTTATATATCAAGGGGTCATAACCTACTATTTTGCAGGCTTTGCGCTTTAGTGTACCTAACTTAACACTTAAACCCTAAATCGAAAAAAACCGAGACCCTCTCTGTAAATAAACCCTGAAATCAGAACCCTGGAACGCGGGATAGGGCTTCCAAATGTTTGGGGTTCCTATGCTAGCGGATAGCTGAACGAAGGCACGAGCTTCGGGTGTGTGGATCTAAGCCTTTACGCCTTTTGGGTTACTGGAGTGAGGTTGGAGAAGCATAGGATGGTATAGCACAGTACAGTACAGTATGGTATCG